TAACTCGTGGATGAGATTTTGTTTTGCTTAATATCGTGTAGGTATACGGAATGTATCACAGGTAAGAAAACTATCTACAAACCGCGCGAAGCTATAATTCCAAGAGTTACTATCTCAAATATGGGGACGGTAAAGAAGTAAGTAACGATAGTGCGAGCGGCAAAGCATACTGAGAAGTTAATGTAGCTGACGACAGGCTTATAATTAGAAAAGAAAATTAAGCAGTATCTGGACTCGGCTTTAAAGATGCGACAGATGCCGCCTCAAGATGAAAGTAGCTTAAGTCGCCTTGGTCAAGACTGATCAGTGCCTATGGTTATACAGTGCGACGGGATGGAGGTGGGTGAATGGAAACAGCATTTTGGCGAAGAAGCGTTGAAAGTTTTCGTTTGTTGGCTTCTAATTTCCAGTACAAACAGAACAGAATGCCAGATATTTTCTGCGATTGGCTGCAAGCGTCCCCTACAGACTGTAGCATTGGAGTCCACAAGACAGAATGATCGCTATCAAATAGCAGAGCATGCATACTTGGGTGGGCTGTAATTGGTTTTGGTGAAAACAGCCAAGCATACACGGGGTCGTGAGACCGATATCTCTCATCTCAGTAAACTAATCAATAATTACCGATGATTTTGAACACGGCAGTGAGGAAAAAGCAGTAGTAGGAGAAGGTTTGTGTTGTTTCGGAAGGGAAGCTTAGGTGTGGGGCAGTTGACAAGCGATCGAGAGTATAAGTATTGCCGCAACAAATGGAGGACGTTTGTTTTAGTGCGGGAAGGGTTGGTACGAGATTTTTACCTCTGTTGGGATACCGTCGAGCAAGCGTTGCCGGCTTGTAATGTGCCGCAGCGAAAAGCTTGGCGTCTCTTCCGCCTGTTTAGTAGTCGGCAATAGTGTGCATCTAACAAAACTCATTGGAGTCCACATCCTGCACTTTTCGACAAAGGATTTTAATGCCCGACCATTCGACCACTGGAAGCTTAGAGGTTGTGTCCCATCCTTCATTCACAGGGTCCAGGCCACTTGTTTACAGACGTCCAGTGGCTCCGAACGTGACAACTTCTCGACTGGCGGCTTTACTCATGCGTGAATGTGTGCTTTCTGTGATCAACCTACTGGCTGTCGTTTGTGTGACGGAGTTGGTTTTTTGAATGAGATCCCCTACTGCAACCGAAGTTGGCCTGTGAAGATTAGCTAGCAAACTTTTCATAAGTGGCTCAGAGGAATAACAAATTCACTGGATGTATGAAGCTGTTTGCTGCGAATTCATCAAGGAAATAACGGTCAACCTGGGATGTGGATTCCGTGATTTTGTAGAGTGAACTTAAATTCTGTTCTCACGTGAGCTAACCACACTGCTGATCAGGGGATGGTGGTCCAGTGTTCAAGTGTTGAAAGTACTAGCCGCAAAACCACATGTACGCAACTTTCTGAGTTTTCAGAAAGTGCATTGACAATAACGGTAAAATACACAGAGCATTTCTCGACCTTTCACCTTATCTCGGCTCTACTTACAGGATATAATTCCAAGTAAAATATTTTTTCAATAGCTCACATAGCAGAAGGGTCCGCCTTGGACCATGACACTAAGGGCTTCGTTTGTATAGAATTGGATGGGCGTGGGGCCCAACCATCTTCTCCAAATGACGGGTAGTATAGATGATAATTTGTCACCAGTTTTTATTATTGGACACCACTATAAATCTGTGAGATGAACCGAATGAGCCGGGTCCAACGATACCAAGTAACTGGAAACATTGTGTCAAGACTTCAGGGGAGCTTGGGAATAGGATTTTTGCAGAGGAGAAAACTAAAACACCTGCACCACTCTACACTGTGATGTTGCCGAAGGAGTAGAGCTGACCGTCACTAACGGGTCTGCCAGTCCGGGGCGCGTGCCCGAGTTATTTGTAATTTGAATGAACCTGATCGGCGGAGCTGTGTTCAAGTGTTGTACATGTTCCTGTGAGAGCTCTATTTCAGATTCTTTTGCGAAATGAGATAATTAATCCGGAATCAATAAGTTTGAACTATGGCCTGCTTCCACCTAAAGCAGACGATTCGAGAGTTAAAGAAGTAGATATAATTTTTCAAAACTAGGCCGCCGTCTCCTGGTACTAAGAGGGAAGCGATTTACCGTCGTTCACCCCAGAGCATGTAAGATTTCGAGAAAAGGCTGAAACGCCAGCCAGAAAGATTTTGACTTGTCCAAGAGATGCCCGAAACTTCGAAACTCTTCCTTCTGTGCACCAGGCGATGGCCTAGGTCAGCGGACACTCATGATTGTCCAGGGGTCTTCTTCCGAATGGTTCTTAAATATAATAGATTTCGAAGATGGTCTGAAAGATTTTGACCCAAGAGATGCCCGAAACTTCGAAACTCTTCCTTCTGTGCACCAGGCGATGGCCTAGGTCAGCGGACACTCATGATTGTCTGTCCGTCTTCTTCCGAATGGTTCTTAAATATAATAGATTTCGAAGATGGTCTGAAATGTTTTGATACCAGGAGACTTGCGAATGACCGCTGTAAGCGCAAGCGAAATCAGAAGATGGAATCGAGGAACGTGACCACTTTTGTATTGCGTGAAATCGTACAAGCACAAGTGCGCGTTTTGGTAGCTTTCCGTATTCAAACAAAAAGGGTATGCAGTTGACATAATACGCAATGTTATAATGGAAGAAAAAGGAAGACACCAAACAACACATTTTCGCCCCCACTGAGCAAGTTTAGGGAAACAGGTTTCACCGTTGACCCCGCAAACACACGGCAGGCACATGGGGGAAGATTTTCAAGCTCAGAGCGCACGTTATTTCGGGCAATTTTTTCTCATTTCAGGCAGTTGTTGCGTGGAATAACCTTCCTCCGACGGTTGTCCTTGCTCCATCTAGAACCCATTTCAAAGAAATATTAAGCAATTGTTTGTGCGAGTCCTTGGGCTTTAAAAATTACTGCCACGTATAGGGAACATAAAGAGAAGTGCTACACCCTTTTGCGTTTGCACCATTCGGACGAACGGCAGCCACTGACTGACAGGAAAGAAACCGACTCAGAAAACTTGTGCAAAAGCCGCCGCCGGCTATTCACACAATGAGATTGATTTCTCGAAATCTACGGCATTTTCGGACTTGCCACTTCATAGTGTAGAATGTCTATGTATAATGTATATGCTCCTGTATTGTTGAAAATCCTTTACTATG